CGGGGTGAATCAAACCCGAGTGGGAATTCAGTTAGCCGTGTCTGCTGAGGGTTTAAGAGAATAAACGGGAAACAACACTCCGGGGTCGGTACCCTCACTGTGTGCGAAAGGGGGAATGGGCACGGAAAGCAGGGGACCGGGGACTGTAGTTGCTGATAGGTTCTACTGGGGGGAAAGAAACCCTTCAGTTTTGGGGTGGATGTGCTGATAACCTATGAAGGAAGGGAAAGCTGTAGAAACATAGCAATGTGCGAGATAGGTGGATTGATGGAGGCAAATAAAGTGGATGGTGACAGTGTGAGACCAGCAAAAGAGTTGTTTTCCGTGAAACTGCCACAAAAAAATCTGGGAAATGTAAAATTGGCATTTCAGTTACATGGAAAGGCAAGATGCAGGGTTGTAACTGTTCACTCCCCTTGTGAAACAGAGCAGTTGAGTTTGACAGAAGAGAAAGTAGGAGCCTGCCACAAGAAAGCAGATGTCAAAAAATTCCCTATAGAAGAGTCTCCAGCTACTTTACACTCATCTTCCCACTATGCTCTGCTACACCTACTGCCAAGAACAAACTGGTGAGCAGCAAGACCAAGATCATCCACTCTTTAGTCATGGTTGAAAGCCAGCTTTTAATTTTGATGCCATAGGTCTTTTGTGACAGTTTTGTTGTTGCACTTCCTGTTCCCTGGGATTATAGTGTTGATAAGATCATCCTTATGAACAAATGGTGCTTCAGCAAGAGCTTTGGATCTGAGCGACTTGTAGTACAGGAGGCTTTTGTTGGAAGGGGAGCTCCCCTTTAAGTAGGAAGACATTAGTTCTGTCTCCCTCTGACATCACCTGTAATTTTACATTGTAGATACAACTATTACTCTGGAATTCGATATGCTTTATAGGTGGAGCCCAAACATCTCACATGTCAACACAGATGTTGTCCTCTAGAAGAACAACAAAACCACTCAGAACTGTAATGCTTCAAGTCCATCACTAAGTGAGATGAGAAAAATAGAGACAATTTAAAAAATGTTTGTTCACAAAACACTATAGCCACTTGTTAACCTTTTATGGGATATTCAGTATTGAAGAACATGGGAGCTGCTCTTGGCTCAGATTTGATAAAAGCAGAAATTTCTCTCTTAAATTTTGAGACTTGAGGCAAACCAGAGCAGTTACGAGTAAACATGTTGTGGTACCACTCTTGCATTGTCTTGCGGTGCATAATCAAGCAGATCTTTAGTAACAGCCTTGCAACAGGCACTCAAATAGTTATATTATAATTTCTTATATGGTGTTTGACAGAAAGAATACTTCAAAATTGTGTTTGTGGTCTCAGCAAGGGGCTGGTGAACACAACAAAAATAGAAGTTCTGTCCTGTTGTAGTCCTTTGATGTTACACTGGCAGTACAGAGGGATACCTTTACCATGTTGGACTCGCATCATAAGGTCCAAAAACCAGGGTCAGGGTTCAGTGATCAGGGTTCTTTCTTTCCTTATGAAATGTTGGAGGTAGTGTACAACTGAACGGTGGGAGCAGGAACTGAAACGTGGTTGAGCACCCAACTTCTGGAAAAAGCCATGCTATTTCTAGTTTTTCCTCAATCAGTCAATCATTTATTCTTTCTCCACTCTGGCTTGGATTCAGCTGGAATGATGTCGAATTAGCTTGTATCCCACCCACCCAGCTAGCTGGCATAAAGTGAACTCACTCCATGTGTAGCTAACTACTTTCACATATACTCAGTCAAATCTGTACTGTTAATACCAGGTTTGTAGGTTTTAAAAAAAAATACTTTTGCACATGTAAGTATTTTAATTTCTTTCCAAAGCTTTTTTTTTTAATGTCTACATTGAACTTAAAATCAGAAATTAATAAGTTACTATGTTCATTTATACTGTAGTCTGAGCAAACAAGGTTAAATGTAGTGGTCTTCCAGCCAGTAAATAATTTTCTGTTACATAAAAATTGGGATGGAGGAAGAAGAATTGGTGGCATGTTACATTGTTTACATTGATCAATGTAAACATCTGATCAATATTGGGAGGAAATTCTGAAAATGCTGAATAATGTAGGACATGGATTCAGTTCTCATTTGCTGGGGATTCCACCACTGATGCAGGCTTTTTTGTCATGTCAGTTGATGACATCACTCATTTCATATGTACTCCGTTTTAAAGAGCTTTATTTTTTAATCAAAATATCAAGTGGCATTGGTAATATACTTTCATAATTCCCGTAGGCCAATTTAAGTTTGGGCTGTTCCCAAGAGTGTTTTTGCTTGTGCCAGCATTTTCAGAGTCATCCTGTTAGCAGGGAGCCAGCTGATCCTGTTGGAGACCAGGCTGGTGGTGAGAACATATGGTGAGGGGCTGGTGGAAGGGTGAGTTCCAGGTAGCAGCTCAGGTGTGGCTTAAAGTGACTCTTTGACAAGCTCCTAGTAAAACTGTACGTACACGACACCTGCACAAGCTATTAAACCGCTAATTTCCTCAAAGAATGGAAGTGCATTTGTTTACAAGGTCTGCTTCCCACAAAATTACCATGAGTGGCATCAGTTACCTTCGTCACAGTAATCTTGCCAGCGATTTATCTGGCTGCTGAGTCTGCAGTTACTTGTGTTTGGGGTCTTTGGAATAATCTTAAATCTCTTCCAGTCCTCTGGATTTTCCCTAGTCTTTCAAGAATCACTAAATATGAATATCAGGAGGCCAGAGGGAATTTCAGGTGGTTTTTAAAAGAATGTTAGGTACAAGAAGATAGTTGGACTTGTTAATCTTAAAATGTTGGTGGATTATACGATCTCTTGATCAGCAGGTTCCTGTCACTGATCAATATATCCAAATTAATCCCGATATCATGTAGAGGTTATTATTGGTACATTTACTATGGGTGTGGACATTTTATCTGCAATTTTTAGCCAGTTTTGCTACTGGCTGTAGTAGTCTCTGTTCCCAGTGTGAAGCCCCCATAACGATGCAAAATCCACTCGCTTCCTTCACCCTATGTTGCAGGCTGAATGATTCCAAGTATGGCTCAGTATTTCTGATGCAGTAGCCTGAGGCAAGCCCTTACTCAGGGGCTCTGTCCGCACAGTGTGCTTGGCAGGCATTGAGGATTTATAGTCCTTCCTCTTATCAGCAAACTTAAAGAGTTAGTAACTTATTTACTATAGAGTAGCACCACACCATCAGTTTTATCCTTCTTAAACAGCTTCTAAGCAGAGATTTTAGTAGGTGAATCATGCAGACTATTCCTTTTATTTCTTTCATGTTATTGATAAAATCTCTTTTCAGTGACAATTTCCAGATCTTCCTATACCTTAGTCAGGCACCAGTCATCAGCATATAAGCAATTCTATATTAAATCTCGTGACATTCTTCGTCACATTGGTTTCATTTGTTTGTGCCATGCTAAGCATCATTTAATACAGTGCTTGCTTCCTTTGAGCTTCCAGTGTACTGTCCTTCCAGCTTGTGCTCTACCTATGGAGCTCTCTTTATCTCAAGCTGCGAGTTTTCACACTTTCACCTTTCCGATTCTCTCCCCCATCCCACTGCAGGGGGACAGTGAGCGAGCAGCTGCGTGGTGCTCAGCTGCCTGCTGGGGTTAAACCACGCCAGTCCTTTTTTGGTGCCCAAAATGGATTTCAAAGGGTTTGAGATAAGGACAGATGTGATATTGGGGTGTGCGAGACCAAACTTATAGCTGTTACAGCTACTCATCAGTAGGGCTTTCTGTGGGGCTTGCTTGCCTTGCCACTGGAGTCTAGTGCTTAACAGGGCTTGCTGTGGGGCTGGCTTGCCTTGCCACTGGAGTCTAGTGCTTGTTTGTGGCTGCTTTTTGCTTTTGCTGTTTGCTGTACTCCTTGTCATCCATAATTCTGAACAGAGCTGTGCTTTACACCAGTCCACCGCTATATTCTACCCAGGGCTTCAAAGAAGAAAAACAAACGTGGAGTGCGTAGTGTATAACAGGTTTGCTCGTGTAAGTACACAGCTGAAGACATAAAGTCAGAAAAGTCTGGACTTGCTGTACTTTATGATATTGGCACTGGTGGTGGCCATTACAATTTGTTTCTTGTAGGTACTTGTTCTGGTGTTGGAGCAGAAAAATTTACTTGTTAAACAAGTAGTAACCTGATTGAGGCAAATAAAAGCTGTATTCAGTTATGGATTACTGAACCTGATTGCAATCTTTAAATCTCTGGCTAATACTCAAGAATCTTAAAATCAGCCAATGATGCTGGAATGCTCTTGCATTCCAGAGAAACTGCTACCTGCTGTCAAGTGGGCAGGGGCAGCTGTAGGAACAGACTAACTAGGGAGGTGCATGTGGCAAACATATCACTAGGGCCATGGAGCCCACCTAGCCTTTGCCAGGGCTTGAAAATCTGAAAGAAGGGTGTGTTGGCGTTGTTGTGCAGATGAGGGTCAAAAAGCTGCTTTTCCCAGTGCTACCAGCAGTACCAAATGCTGTCCCAGGCACCTCCAGGCCTCGGGAAGGAGCCACGGCTGCCTGGGTTTTGCTTGCTGGCCCTTCAGCTGCTCACTCTGCTGTTTGCTCTCCAGGCTGCACTCTCTGCAGGGGATCGGGAGAGCCCAGACCTCTGGCTGCAGTTTTGGCTAACGCTGCTGAAAATACTTATTGCTTACCCTCTTTTGAGCTTCTAAAAAGTAAGCCATACTTACACGGAGAAATCATCTGATCAGCCATGTTGCGTGGATCCTGAGGCTTCCTTGGGCTCCAGCCCTTGTCCTTTCAGCCCATATCATCTGGCTGTATAAAAAAGATCCATAAATACATAGGATAATCTCATCACCCTTTACAGCAGTAGCAGATGGCAATTACCAGCAGCTATCTTAGCATGATGGAGAGAGACAAAATGTTTTACTCTATGCTGTACCAAAATAGGCATCAGGTATATCTACAGAAAATCTTTTTTCCTAAACTGAGAAACTTCCATGATTAGAGAAATTAGAGCTGGTTCTTTTTCTCCTCCATGCAGGACGTGATAGGCAGAAAAGAATCCTGCGCTTCAGGACAGATACCGATGACCTACCTAAGCTGCCTTGCCTACATACTGGAAGAATGGACTGTTGTGGAGTACCTGAAGAAACACCTTTTTCATGTGGTCATCATCTCGCTGACAATAAGTGCAATATTAGTTTTTTTTATTGTTCCTTTAACAATCCTTTTTGTCATTTACCTTACTAATATTTTGCTTTTAATATATCAGAGGAACAGTGAGGTAAAAGCAGATCCCTTGAGCGAAGTTTGGGATAGTGCAAGGAAAACTATAGCAAGCTTTTGGGATCTATATGCAAGAATATGGCATGGTAAGTGTGACATGACTTGTCTGAAGCTTTGAATTACAATAAGTAGTAAATACACATAAGTTTTAATTCTTTCTTTTTTATTTCTTCCATGGATGCAAAGAAATGAATGCAAAGAAATTACATTTATTATACTTTGTATGGCATTCAACCCAAAAGTTTCTACCTCAAAGCCTGATTGCAGAATGAAAGGGAGAAATTAGTTTATGTAAGGTAAATTTCTCTTAAGGGGATAGGCAGGTGCACTTCTCTGTATATGGTATCAGAATGAAGTGCAGTGTTAATGTTAGTTCTAGTATCGTAACTGCAAGAGAGATGTGTGATTTGTTTTTTACCTTAGTAGCTGCTTAAAACCCACTTAATAAATGATCAAAACACAACAACTAGTTGGAAAGGTAATTAGTGTATTTTTAGTTGGTGAAAACTACTTTGTGTTATGACACTTGAAAATAATTTTAAGAGCTATATGCACAAAGAAATAATTAGATACCACATTTTGGGTTGTACTGTGGCAGAATCTAAAAGTAACCTGATTTTTCAGTTTCGTTACACTCAGCCTTCAGATACTTTCAACACACCCTGCTGCCTAGGAAAATCCTCAGCCGCATGCTAGGCTCTTGTTCTTCCCGCCGATGTAGTTTAAGGCTATCAGCAAGACTTAACTTTGCTGCCCTAAGGATGAAGAACAACAGGTTGTTATCTATGTTGCTATCCTTCCTCACAGCTTTGTCCTTTAATCTTTGAACCTCCTGCATCAACCTGTCTCCACCTCTTCCTAAGACTCTGCCTGCTCCATCCCCATCCTTCTCCCCGAACAGTGCATGATAGGAGCTGTAGCAGGGATGCAGATGAAGGCACAGAAGGTGGAACAGAGCTCTTTTAGTTGGTAGAAACTGTGGCTTTCCCAAGCCTTTGTATACATTAGCCTTCTAGTCTGGCTCCACGTAAAACCTAAATCAAACATAGGAAGAGCCAGGAGAGGGATTTATACAAGTCCATGTCTGTGAGGAAATTCCCTTCCACTGTGAGGTGAATACATTTAACTCTTGTGGAGAGAACCTCTTTTGGGGATTCTTACAGATTCTGGTTTGGACTTAAATGTCTCAACCAGAGAAACTTTTTATTATGTAAAATCCCAAACTCTTCATTCCGCCTGGCACAGAATGGAAATCCGTGCTTCTGTATTTTAGGAAAGCATCCTGACTGCTTGCTTGCGTCTCATTCTGCTGATGAAGCGGTTTCACACCAGTGTAGTAATTTTGTTTTTAATTATTGTATTTTGGACTGGGAAGAGTTCCTAATGGGAAATAATTAATTTAGTCCCATCACTGGGCAAAATGTCAGGTTCAGGTCTGATGTCATGATTAAACTGACCAACAAATTAGTCCACTGATAACCTGTGGTGTTTGAGGGGCTTTCTCTTTGCTATTGACCAAAAGTTCCATCCAGAAATTAATTCTTTTAAAAGCTACTGCAGAGGCTTTCACAGCTGTCTGAAAGTCATTTAACAAAGGACAGCAAACAGTTTTCTTTAAATTGCCAGATGACTTACAGCTATCATTGTCAGTATATTGCTTTCCATCTCAAACAGGTTATGAGCTTCATGGTGTGGAAAACCTACCAGAAGGACCGGGCATTCTTGTGTATTACCATGGAGCTATTCCTGTAGACTACCTTTACTTTTTGTCTAGGCTGTTTCTCTGGAAGAAAAGACTTTGTCTGTCAGTAGCTGATCATTTTGTCTTTCGTTTACCAGGTGAGAACATGTTCTCTTGTATTTAAGCATCCTAGATTCACTCAACCCGTTGCTGGTTTTGGTGAAATTTACATTTATTATACTTTCAAGAGAGATTTTAAACTAAAAGCCTGCTTATAGACTTTTAAACTAAAAGCTGGTAGATGCAGAAGGGCAAACAGGGTAGAACATCCTGTCTTTTAAGTGAAAGGTCATAAAAACACTAGTGGACCCTCCAAAGCCAATAAATAGACATTACATAATCCCTTTGGGATGAATGTCATGCCCCAGTAGAAAGTGTGGGATAGAACTATATTATTGACCTACTGCTGCCTGGTCAGCACTGGGCTAGGAGTGCAGAAGAGCTGAGTAAATGGTAGGATTATCAGTTACCTACTTGCCCTCTACACTGGGTAGCCATTGCAGTGGGCTGTGACATCAAATCCATCTTTTGATCAAAGCCTGGAGTAGGACACAGAACTTTTTTGAAGATTTTACTGTTGAAGAAGGCTCTGTAATACTGACCACCACAATACATTCAACACATTTTAGACTGAGAAAGAAATAAACAATTCCATTGTGAAAAGGAGAAGATACAGAAAAGCAAACCTCATTCATTTCTAGAAAAACAAGGCATAAAGAAGCAGCATCCAGAAAGACTAGCAGGGAGATTATTTAAAGGCACTTTTATACCACTTGTATTAAAAATTATTATAATAATAAAGAGTAAAGAAATCCATTTAAAAGTAGAAGGACATTCTTCAGAAAAGGAGACAAACATTGAAAACAAAGAGCATAAACTCAAGGAAGTTTGATGCAAGAACATATTAAGGCACCCCTAGAAAGATGATGAGGAAGAATTTGCTACAGACACACTTAGTAAATACTGTGTGGTACTAAATACATCAGAAGCATGAAGTCATCAAGAGATGATTGGCTTTTTATATTGGCCATTTGTTTTTCAAGGCAGTAAAAGCCCACACAGAGAGGACAGTTATCTACCAGTACTGAATCACTGGCTGATTAAATGGCAGATGAAATTCAGTATTAGTTATAATGCAGTGCAGAAGGAAAGAAAACCAAGTCTAAACACATAAACATGTAAATAGGCTTTAAATTTTCTAGATGACTAGGAATATGTCAGCTTAAGTCTCAGCAATTGCCAAAAGGCAAACAGAATTTTAATCTTATTGTGAAAAAGAAGAAACAGAAAATACCATTATGTACTCAAAATGTGTATGGTGCCCACATCTTGAGTACTACATGGAATTTGGGTCTCCCCATCTCAGAACAGCTGCAAAGTAATAAAAATATAAAAAAGGTCAAGGATGATGAGAGGCCTGGCATGGCTTCCTTTGAAGAGCTAGTACACAGGACAGAAGTCTTGCATGACTGAGGATATACAATTCTGTGTGACCTGGAAAAGGGGAATAAGAAGTGATAATATGTTTGTGTGATACATCATAATTCTTAACAGGCAAAAGTTTTAAAGCCAAGCAAAGGAAGTACCTATTCACTTAATAAGGATATGGCATTCC